CACCGCGTCACCCACCCCCCGGCCTTCACCGGCCGACATTTACTCCCCCTTAAGTTTTTTTTTTTTTTTTTTTTTTTTTTTTTTTTTTTTTTTTTTTTGGTTTCGTCCCTGCCCTTGTCTGACTGCGCGAAATGCCCGCCACGATCGCCGCAACACCCCGCTATCATCGCCTTTGGCTCCGGATTTCCACCTGGATCAATATAAATAAATGGCCACTAGCCAAGTAGTTGGTTGGCTTTTTGGGACTGGCATTACAACTATGTAATCGCAATGTCTCTCTGAAATAAAATAGAAAAAATAGAAAAAAAAAGGGTCAAATAAGACAATAATGAAAAATTGCCAATTGACCATACCCCCGCGTAGAAGACGGCTCGTGGATCCGCAGTAGAACGTTTCTAAATTGGAATTTCCACGCGGATTTGAGCAGAGCTAGGAAAGAGAAGAGGAAAAGAACGAATAATAAGTAATAACGAGCAACACGGAAAAAAAAAGGGTGATATATAGCCGACGAATTGATGGCAGCCTACTTGACTCCTTCCGCCCCTTGCATGGATGATTGTTATTCGCATATAACCGAAAGATTGGAACCAACAGAACACCCTCACACCGCTTGAGTTACGTTCCGGAGTCGTCACGAAGGACGAAAATATGTACCTAGGTAGGTATCCACGAATATCGACATGTCCATGCGGAATATCGTACAGACCGACAGAAAGGGATCCCCAAGCCATTGACGTCGAGAGCGAAACTATTTGTCGTTCGTGCTTTTGGTAAAGTCGTCGATGATGCTGATGTGTCAGACAAGTCGATCGCAGGGCGTGAATGGTACATTATGGGATGCTATAGCTCAGGTTGCCGGGTAAAAGGCAATGGCGTCGTCTGTTTCATCTTGGTCTGGAGTACCGTCTCATCAAGCGTACCTAATCTAAGTGGTTAGCTGGAGCAGAGCAATATGCATGCAACTCTTGCTTTGCCCCCTTATCGACATAGACGGCGAGTCGGTTTCCGAAGTCGAGATTGCCGAGGCAAAAACATAGACGGAAAAGCTTTGATCAGATAGAATCAGGAGTGCGGGTGAAGACGAATAGGTAGGTAGCTGGTCGCTGTGGTTAGGCTAGGTTAGGTTAGGCTAGAAAAAAGAAACGCTGTCGAAGGAAGCTCGCGAGTTCGAGATCTGGGGGATGAGGCGGCTTTGCGGAGTAGCGTATGTGTAAGCCGGGACTTAATCCGAAAAAGCCCATAACAGGTACCTAGAGGTAGAGTAAACCGGTGATCAGATCGTAGATAGATCTTGCTCGAGTGGGTACGACTAGCCCAACTCAGACAAGGCAAGATGCAGATGCCTTTGAAACTCCTTGTTGGGTTTCTTCTGCCAGGAACTCTCAAACCGTCCACTACGCCTCTTCTGAAAATCGGTCCGTGGTGTGTGAGCCGCTGAAGGAATTCCTGTGGCATGTCCATAAGGTCAACTATCTGTCCCCTGAATATCTCTCCTTGTTTTTTACCCCCGTGGGTCCTCCCGCCCGGGGTCTTCTCCTGGCATGGCACGATATTCTTTTGAAATCTAAAGAACTTAGCCCGCACGTTCCTCGAGAGAAAGTAGGATGCCCCCTCTTTCTACAAAGCGTGGCCGTAGACCGGCTATATCTGCTCCCATGTTATCGTATCGGCCGTTGAACCCCTAAGGTCTAGCAGTGTTGTATCCTGAGCTGTTAAGTTGATGGCAAATGACAAAATTTTATAGAGACTGCTCACCGATATATGAGATTGTGCCGCCACTCTGTTCGAGTATGGCAAACGAATAGCCGGCTCTGGTTAACATGTGACTTGTAACTCTGTCACAAGAGGGGCTTGGGCAACAGCAACGTCATCATTCCGTGGTATTCGTATCAAAAAGGCCCGGTATTTTTTCGTCTTCGTAGTAGCTTCTGCTCCTGCTCATACCGATGTTGATACTCGGCCTTTGCCGGGTCAGGAAGACGGTATCGTTATTAATAGGAACTGTTCACATAGCCATTATTACTACCATGACGACTGTCGAAATATGTGATGTCCGTATCGATGACCGAGCGCTCGAGGCTCCAGGAGTCGACATAGATGACCATCGTTGTGATATTGGCCTCTTTCCCTCTTTAGCTGGTGTCGATGGCTTAAATAGTAATGATATGCGGTCACGATTCCAATATCGAAGCTGAAAAAGCCCTCGTGGCTGAGACGAGAAGAACCATCTTGCTAGAAAGAGACCATCTCTACATTATAAAGTCCGAATGAGCAGATGTGGAAAAAGAGGAAATGCATAATCATGAGTATCACATAGTCTGGCCACGGTAAGAAGGATTCTAGGCAGAAATATATACCTGAGAAAGAGGAGTCAGAGCATTGGGCAGTAATGGATGAATAGATAACGCCCTGTTAAGCCAGTGCCAACACTGTCGTGCCAATCTACGGTGTGTCCATTCATGTTTCCGGAGTATTACATGCAGAGGGTGACAGCGAATCGCTAGTAAAGAGGCTTAGATGGTATATGTATTAGCTACTGATTGGGCGGCATGGTAAAGCAGTGAAACTAGTGGAGTACTCCCCTGATAGGCTATAAGTCGTTTGATTATAACCAGGCGATGGTGGCGCATAAGGCTAACCCCTGGAATAAGACGAGAGTTCTCAAATATGTAGTATAGGTATGTAAGGTATATTTCTCAAAACGCCATCGCTACAAGACTATATATTGGAAGATCGGTGAACCGTGCTTTGCTATTAGGCACCCACCCGTTTCCCTTCCATAAAAGCCGAGCTTATGTCCATAATCTACATGTTCCATCGGCGCCCGCACTTACACACCAGGGGTGTTGGGGATGCCAATCAATATCTGTCACACCGAGCCTATTAACGACCTTATGTCCTTTCAGCATCTTTACCGGCACAATAGTTGGTCCCTCCATTAGATCGCTCACAACCTTGCTGTGGAATATTTGTAGAGTGCCATCATCGCTACAATCTGCGAATAAGGGATGGCTGCGGTGGAACTTCACAGCTCTGATTGCCTGCGGATGGAATCGCATTGTCTTATATGGCCGGTTTGACATCTCAAGATCATGCCAGAGTAGTCGACGATCGTATGATCCAACGACTAAGTTGTCACCGCCAGGATGCACATCAAACGACGAGATCCAGCGGGCACCGGGCTGAATAGTTTTAACCAATTCTTGCTTTTGGAGGTCATAGCATCGTATCGACCGCTGAGTTGCAACAAAGAACAGGGGCCGCAAAGGATGGAATGATGCCGTTTGTGCCAATCCAGCAAGCTTCCTGAAGGGGATTTGTGTAAGATGCTTGGATAAGGTGTGAATGGCTACAGAGCTTCTTTGTCCGCTAGGGGATACCGTGCAGAAGAAGTCTCCTCGTCGGTGCCAATTGATTGACTTGATAGGCGAGCGAACTGTAGCTTTTAGTAGTACACCCTCGTCCTCTAGGCGTGCTCCTGGCCGAGACCATTTTGCCGGAGGATCTTTTCGCGCCCCATTGGCTGTTGTTAGTTGCTTGCCGTTGGTAGCGTAGCCAAATCCTGCATCCAGTATATCTCGACTAGTCTGTTCCAGCTCCGGGCTTCCAATTGAAGGGATCATGAAGAAGATATCCTCGGCCACAGCAGCTGATATAATTGAAGCTTCTTGACCTGGTCGCCATCGCACTACGTCTACCGGATCCTCGCTGCTAAGTTTGACTTTCCACTGCTGTTTGCCGTCTGCGAGACCCCACACTCTCACCGTGCCATCATCACCACCGCTAGCTAACCACTGACCAGTTGGGTCAATGGCAACGGATCGTACCCTACCCTCGTGACCAGCATATTCAATTGACGCGATGGTAGGGAAAGGTCTTAATTCCTCAGGTCGCGGAAGTTTAGGGAGCAACGATGCAGGGTCGATATTCAGCTTGTTTTTCCGTATCCGAGGTGCAAGGTAGAGGTCAAGACACCTTTCAAAGCGTTCTTTAACAAATCGATCATACGCAGGAGTTTTCCGCAAGGAGTCGTATTTTTGGGGTAAGTACTCCTTTTCTCGTTCCTCCGGTTCAGTCTCTTCCCAGGCCTTCTTTTCATCTTCGGTGGGGAGATACTCTGGAGGTGGATTGTAACTGAGATCATAGCCAGGAGGAGCAAGTTTGGGGGCGGGAATATGCATGACGTTAGGTGGACGAGGCGTTTCGTCAGCCCATATGTCGTAATGGATTTCTTCCTCTTCTTCCTCTTCCCTCTGCCTTTCCTCTGGTGGCTTATACGGTAGTATTCGGCCCTCTTTGATTGCCTTAACTAGTTTCATTATTCGTTTCGCTTCGTGCTTTGAAGGCAAAAAGCGTCGTTTTGGCTCCGGGGCAGCGCTCAAGGGCATCGTCTCCTCGAAACTTGTAAACCATTCGACAGTATCCTATGTCGACATTAGCATAAGACAAATAGAAATATACGGAAACCATGCAACTTACTGGATATGGGTCATATCCTTCCTCGGGAACCTCGTTCATCTGGACTCGTCGCAACAATTCTAACTCGTCCTGGCTCAGGTTCAAGGGCTTGCCGGTTGCAGGATCCGTGAGGCCAGTCCAGCCCTTGGGGACCTCGATGCTGTCTAATAATGCGTCCAAAGCCTCGCCAGTGGCGGGACGCATGATCTTCTTCCCGTTGATATCATATCCTATGTGAGGGTACGAATCGTAGAAAGAAAGGGGTATATTTCCGATTGTATTTACGGGCTCTTGGGCGTCTGTATCGTCTGAATCGTAAACGGGGTCGATTTCATCGTAGACATATCTCGTTCCCCCGTTGGCGTCTGTTTCGATTTTGTAGTGAGGACCAACGTCTTCTTCGTCGGCCTCGGCTCCATTTGACAACTGATTTTTCTCTGGTTCCTCGTCGTCTGTGGGTATATCATCGCTATGCAATTCATCATCGTCGGCATCAAGAGTATCTCCCTCAATGTCATTATCATCATCTTCCGCTTCAGATTCCTCATCTTCGGAGTCCTCATCATCGGATTCACCCTCCAATACACCTTCTAGAAGACCATCTCCAAACTCATCATCGGATTGGGGTTGGTCTGCGTGGTCCGCCTCGACCACGGAAGCTTTGCGCTTCAAATTTGATTTTGTTGGAACCATTTGCGCCAATTCTGAAGTTTTGCGCTTCAAGGTGGAAATTTTCTTGTATCGCAACAAAGCTTGAAATTTGAATGTGAGATTCGGGACGAGATCCAAATTATTTTTTCGGGAGTGGGGCCTTTCTGCCGCTGGGTGGAGCCGAAAGTTGAACACCGCCTTCCAGGTTTGAACGTCGACTTAGGTACCAGGTACTTAGTGCACATTATGTAAGGTCTCGAAGATTGGACATCTTAAAATTCCCGTCCTCCACTTGCATTTCGTTAAGGTACTTAACCTTAAGTACCGTATTCCTCTGCGAAAATAATAGGTACACGTATCAAGACCTGGTGTCCTGAAAAGACATACAATATGGGCTCGGTAATGTGACATGAGTTTTCAACACTTTTTTTTTTCTATCTCGGAAAAGATAAAAGGCGAGGTGAAAAGGGAAAGTCATGAAAAATATCTAGACCTTAGAGTCTTGCAGTGACAATATGGAACCTCAGAAGGCACAACAAAGACCTTCGACTCCAGAATTCCGATAAGCTGGAAGGTCTTTCACGCCATCTTCTAGAGATAAAGTTCCTACTTCAACGTTCGAAGCTTTCCAAGTCTTATGTAGTTACGCCTTCTCTGCTGCCGAGGTCGATGACCTAGCGGCTAAAGTATCTCTCATATCTGTGGCCGAGTGTAATTGTGCGAAGGAGCAGGCAATTATAAGTAGTCTGGATTATAAGTTCAGATCATCGAGACGTGCAAACATCACTGATTTGAGGCACCTGGGAAAGGGGTAATGAGTGGCTAAAACTTTACCCTCCAGATCTTTGGGGCCGAGACGTGGGTTAGAAAGTGCAATTCACCAATATTCCAAATCTAGCAGGTATGAGAAGTGGATAGGTGATTGGGCTCAATCCTACAACAATGCATCGGAGCGTGGTGTCTATTCACTTCTGCTTGACTACGGTACTAATCCTAATACACATCCTACTCCTTTTACAATAGCTTGGTCCGGCTTTATCCGCTTCGCCGTCGGAAACCCGTCAAAAATCACATCTGTTGATGCCTACCTTAACTCATTGGATGACCTGTTTAAGCATGGAGCGGATCTAGGCGCTTTAACAATTGGGTTGACTTTACGGCCGGGTGATATTTCGAGCCATCTGTCACTTTGCATGGTAACAACCTTAGCGGGTCCGAAACCGAGGGAGAACTTAATTTTATATCCAAGATCACCACGAGGATGATCGAGCAGGCAATCGATACTCGGTGGCCTGTAGGAAGGCTGCCCTGGATTGTGAGGAATGTTTTCCCCGTTACACTACATAAATCAATGCTCGATATGCTTATTCACTGGCTTATTCAGGCTCGAATTAAAGGGAGGAATCCAAAGACTTGGGGCAAACGGCTGTTTCAAGACACAGCCCACACAGAAGAGGAAATTAAGCGGCCGAGGTTAGATAGCGCGGATATGTCGAGGTCTTCGTCAAGTTAAGAGTTCATAGTGGCACGAGTTGATGCGAGCGTTATTTCAGGCCATATCGTGTAGACAATAGCCAATCCAATGTGATATTGACTTTTTCGTCTTCACTGTCTTATTATTATAATTATAAGTTAATAACTATGTTGTCGGGTTTTTCGTTTAAACTCGATACACCCATATCGCATAGCTCAACTATCCATTAAATGTCCCCGGTAATCGTTGTCCCAATTATTATATAATGTTGGCTAGACAACGTCTAGTCAAGTTCGTATCATGTCGTAAAGAATTATGATGTATAAAGTGTAGTATGATAAAGAAAACGGTGTCTACCGGTGTAAATGTTAGGTATGCTTTTGCAAATCATGCCCGAGTCGTACAGTAAAACAGTGATACATTAAGGAACATGAAGAGCTGTGGCTCCTCGTCGGAACACATAACTGCTACCTGAAGCGCCGGCTGGTCCCAAGTAGCAATGATGTAAAACGCGTGTGAATTCGATTGTGGCAACTCCGTCCCAAAATTCAATTATGAAGAACGTCCGTTTGCGGGTGAAGCCTCGCGGCTCGATTTCTTTTCTTTTCTTTTCTTTCTTGCGGGGGGGGGGGGGGGGGGGGGGGGGGGGGCGGGGGGGGGGGGGGGGGGGGGGGGGGGGGGGGCGCGC